TATAGGCATTTCTGAAAGATTGGGGGCAAAAGTTGTTTTAAACCTTGGAAAATTCAGGACTTGCCTGTCCCAGAAATTGCTGATGGGAGATGGTTAGTTAGCATCATTCAACAGTGCCCCCTTCTGTTAAGAGCACAGATTTCTGAAATTGAGTTCCTGTGGAAGCCCTGAAGAGAGAGTTCTCTGAAACAGAAAAGGTAACAGGGATTTTTTTTTTTTTTTAAAGAACTGGACTTCTGATAAGAAATTAATTGAAATAGTTCATTCTATTTTTTAAAGTCTCATATTAAGGAGCTATTTCCAGATTTTCCAGCTTGAGTTATCATGGAAAGATAAGACTTCTTTCATGTTGAAAATTTAGATTCATATTTCAAGTGTTGACATAAAAGGTAATTGTGTAGTTTTTTAAAATAGAAAAAATGATCCTAGTTTATAATTCCATTTTCTTCAATTGTTTCTTTTTTGCAAATTGTCACTATTTCTAAAGGCAGTGGTAAAATACAACACCACCAGATAAGAATACAAAAAGCTATTTCTTAATGAGAAAGTGGGAGAATATATATTAAAAAACCAGATTGATGCAAAACAATCACTACGAATTCATATCATGCAAAAGATGATAAGTTTAAATAAGTGGGAGAAACTGACTTTTTCTTTCAACTTGAATTCTGAACTTGTAGATAAAGAATCACAACCAAAATGTTATTGAATAATGTCAAACAGTTCTTGACCTCATTCATAAAAGGAGAAAATAGATTTCTTCTTATTGAAATATTATATGATTATTAATAAGTTATTATATAATAATGATAGGTAATACTTTTCCCCATTTTGCAAGAGACCACAATTTAAAAGGCTGTGGGTTTACTACCAAATGTATTTCACTTGTAAGAGTATTGTAGCATCCCTTTTCCTAGCCTTCGTGAACTTGAATCATTACACTTGGAAGTTTAGAATAATCTCTGTTTACAGTTTTATTTCTGATAGCACTGTTCTATTTGTTTCTTTTGTCCTTTTTGAGACCGGCCGCACAGCGCTCAGCCAGTCGCTCAGCCAGTGAGCGCTGTGAGCGCACCAGTCATCCCTATATAGGATCCGAACCCACGGCGGGAGCGCTGGTGCGCTCCCAGCGCCGCACTCTCCCGAGTGCGCCACGGGCTCGGCCCTCTATTTGTTTCTTATGGCATTCTTGTAAAATTCTGTTCTGTAGCCTCTGTGTCAGGAATAAGTGTTTTGTGAAAAGAGAGGAGCAAAACATATCAATCATTAGAGGAGATTTAAATTTCATTCCATTTTCCCAGATTGTGTTGATGAATAATCTGCATTTTTATAGACAAAGGAAGGAATTATAAAAAGTATTTTTATAAATACCCATCTATCACTGAAAAGGACCTAAAAGTAAATGGTTTTACTAAAGAAAATTTCTGTGGTTTATCTTAAAAGAGTTCATACAGTCATTTTTAGTCTAGAAATATTTGACAGATGATAGTGATTAACTGCCTTTGTTAATCAAAATTATAGTTTCCTTTTTTGGTATAATCTCATCACTTTAAGGCTGCAGCATTGTGAATTTAAAGCAATCTTTTAAACAGGAAAATGGGGACTGGTTGGTTAGCTCACTTGGTTAGAGCGTGCTGCTGATAACACCAAGGTCAAGGGTTCAGATCCCTGTACCGACCAGCTGCCAGAAAAATAACAAAAAAATAAAAACAAAGAGAAAAATGGTTTGGTTCTTAAGGAGATACATTTTTTTCCCATTTGTATCATCTAATTCATACAACTTTAACCCTAGGAGCCATTGATTTATTAAGATTTACAAGCTATTTTGGTATAGATAACTGTTGCCACTTTCCTAATGCATTTCCTTGCTTCCTTTTGGACAGGGGCTAATGCAAGAGATCAATGATTTGAGGCTGAAAGTCAGTGACATGGACAGTGAAAGACTTCAGTATGAAAAAAAGCTTAAATCAACCAAAGTAAGTTTTCTCACCAGTAAAAATGTTTAAACAAATGGCTCCACGACTCATCTATGACCAATAATATACATAAAATGTTTTCTACTTAGTATATGATAAAGAAGGTATTTTACAAGTAAATGATGTTTCCCCCAAGCTGGAAGCCTTCTTGAATTTAAATGCTACTGTTCTGAATAAAAAACAAGGCTTAACTAACCTGACCAAATATAACCTGCCATTTGTCTGAGTTGTCTAACCTCCTTTACAAACTGATACTGTTTTCTTGGTTATTTAGCTTGTCTTTTTCTATCTGTAGTTTTCTTTCACTCCTCTGTCTCTCTACCAGTCTTTAATGGCCAAACTTTCTAGCATGAAAATCAAGGTGGGTCAGATGCAGTATGAAAAGCAGCGGATGGAACAAAAGTGGGAGTCACTGAAGGTGCAGTAGACCTTGGGTGATGGGACCCGTGGCCTGTCGCTCTCTGGCTTGTGTCGTTTTGCCGTGGTGGTGTTTTCCGTGGCGTGTGCATTCATTTTGTGTGTGCTGCCTGTTTGTTAACAATACAGTTAAAGCTCATTCAAGGGACAATGGGATGCCTGATATAGGTTTCAGAAACGTGTGCAATAATTAGTGAAAAACAATAAACAAGTCAAATAAAAGTATTAATTGATAAGTTAAATCTAAGTCTCTTAGACTGAAACCCAAACATGGTAAATAAAACAATTATAAAGAAGTTCACCTGTGATAGAATTCTGTTTCATACCAATAATTAGTGAAAAACAATAAACAAGTCAAATAAAAGTATTAATTGATAAGTTAAATCTAGGTCTCTTAGACTGAAACCCAAACATGGTAAATAAAACAATTGTAAAGAAGTTCACCTGTGATAGAATTCTGTTTTATATCAACAGTAGAGACTGCTTTCCTCCTTCAGGACTTTCTTGGAGGTAAACGTAAACAGCAGTTAACTATTTTAACTATTTTGTGCCAGTGAATAGAAATGACCGCTTAGAAGCAGTGCAGTGAGAACAAGGCAGCCCTTCTTGCCAGTGCTGCTGAAAATTTCTTGAACTTGGTGTCAGCCCCTAGCATAATTCAAACCTATAGGGCCAACTTTCTAGCTTCTTTGGAGAGCTCTATCTTCTCATAGAACTAAATGTAATAAATATCTTTAGACATTCTGAAAATAAAATGTGACATCAAATATAAAGGTGTACTTATCAGCACTGCAAAAGTAATGTGTTATTTTCTGTGTTAAATACAGCCAGCAAAATTTAAGTTTGCTAAACCTAACTTCTTTACTAAAATGAATCTGAAAATTAAAACATTAGTAAATAGAGCAATGGACTTGGGATCTTTTACAGTTGCATAGTTAAAAAATAAAAGAGGACTTTTGCTAAATTTGTTTTTCCCACTGTTGTTGGAGATTCTGTCCTGTGATCTTAGTGATGAGGATGAATTATATTTAGTCCCGTGATTTGACTAAAGTTTTTCATGACTTGTTACCTTACCCACTAATTCAGCTCTCTGCTTGTCCAGGAAGCATGAGTGCCATCCTGAAATGCTGAGTAGATGTCAAACAAATCTTATCCCATTTGTACTTTATTTGGTTTGATGACACTAAATATCTAATATAATTGTCCTCCTTGATTAACTTGGTCAGGTTTTTAAATTTAACATAAGATTTAAACCTTAGGTCTATCCTATTTCTAATTACACTTTAAAAGATTTCTTTTAATTACAAAGAAAATTGAAATAATTATACTATAATGATTATAAATTGGGCTTATATTAATAGTCTTGCTTCCTGCTCATCATTGCCCTTGTATAATTTCTGATGTTTGTGTCTAAATTCTTATAGATTCTTGTTTCATTTGCAAAATCTGATTATTGCTTTAAAGAGCTAACATGGTCTCTGAATATTCTCTTATTGTCATAATCTACTGTTATAAAATGAATTTGTAATTTGTAGGAGGAACTCGCATCGTTAAAAGAACAACTGGAAGAGAAGGAATGTGAAGTAAAAAGGCTACAAGAAAAATTGGTTTCCAGGATGAAAGGAGAAGGGATAGAAATTCCTGATAGAGGTAAAAATACATATTTAACATTTGTTATCTTACTTTGTTAAAATCCTCTAAAATCTACAAAAGAAACTGGTGTTAGTCAATATGTAATTTTAGCATCAGAGAAAGATTAGCAAAAGCCAACTAGACCCAGGACCACAGGGAATTCTCCAAGACTCTCTGCTGTGATGGGGAATTCATTAACTTCTTCAGCAGCTGGAGGAAACTTCTGTACTTCACTGGGTGTTCATTTTAGATTACTAATTGTAAATTCTCAGCATGAGAATGTACTTGTCCAAACTGCAATACAAGGGAATGTCAAGAGAATTAAGAAGAACCATTACTATGTCCCAAGATTGTTTCTCTCAGAACTGAAATAGGACAAGATAGAGTGCAGAGCTTTAGAAATCTTTTCTGCCCTTTTGAGAAAAGAGAGGAATGGCTGTGTACCTTTGGCAAATTAGTGAAAATTTTTTACCACGGGTTGAGCCAGAAGCAAAAATAGGCTAATTCTGTTTTTTGGAAAAATGTATGAGTGTATCCAAATTATTTTTTCATAACTGAGGAGGTTCGTTCTGAGTATTATGTGGATTATAATTTTTAATAAGGTAGGTTATACATGATAGAAAATAACTTGAATAAAATATGTCTTTTTAAAAATTATATTTGTAACTATAGTGTGCATGATATCTGACAACACCAGGTCAAATCGAACCTTTCTTTGTTATTACAAATGACAACGGTGGCACTATGAGATACCAAAGCAACTTTTGAATCATTTGAAACAGAACAAATTCCAGTTAGTAGCTTGGTACATTTTTATCTCTTACGTAGAAATTAATAACATTATTGTCTGCATAATAAGGGACTTGAATTAGATTACCTCTAAGTCTTTCTTGGCTCTGGGATACCATGGCTTTATATACCTGTAGGTATCACAGTTCCCTCTCCATAGGAAAACTCGGCTCATCAAACCTAAGGGAAGTGGATATACCTCTTGTATTTTGGCATATGTAGAGTTGCGTATTATTAAAGGGCATTCAGAAATAGGTCATACTTTTAGGGCTTTAAGATTGAGATAGAATCACAGGACTTGTGTATTAGAGGGTATTTTAGGGTAGTGCTATCCAAAGTCTAATCTGAGGGCTAGAACCAGTCTGTGAACTGCTTGTTGTCCGTGCACAACCAGATAAATACAGGGTTTGAGAGCAAGTGTTTAGAAACTTCATGGCAGCAAGTCAATATATTGATCTGACCAGGTCAAAAGGAAGAAATATTCTTTAGAAAATAACACCCATTAAGTTTTCTTATTACAAAAATTGTACATGGTCTCTAAAGAAAAAAATTTAAATATAGAAAGTATAAGAGAAAACCTCATGCACAACCAAAGAAAGAAAGAAAGAAAGAAACGTCATGGCAGTCTGACACTGCAGCAGTATATACGTGCATCATCAGTGGACTCATGTCATTGAACAGAAGCCTGTATCAGTGTTGTTGAACTTGAGAGGTGAGTTGGATGTTACACAAACAATGTACTAGTCACATTCAGGAAGGACCACGTATCAAACTGTGATGGAAATATAAAAAGCAGCCAAAGCAACATTAACTTGTTTTTCAGCACATATGGTGTAAGAAGTGCTTATACTCCATAGGCCTAATTTTAATTTGAGAAATTCAAAGTTCAGAAAGATGAAGTGAAAGAAATAGTAACTCGAATTTAGGTCTTCTGATTAATTAGGTACATTCTCCAACCTCCCACAGAGAATTATTTATTGTACTACCAATCTTAAAGTCATAATATAGGGCTTAATATCCAGATTTTATAAGGTTAGAGTCCCCTTATTTTAGGTGAAAGGAGACTAAGTAATAGTGCTTTAAAAATATTATTTATTGTTGTAACATATTCTAACTTCCAATTTGATGGGTTTTCCTGCACAGATGAAAATTTTAAAAAGAAGCTCAAAGAAAAAAGTAAGGTTTTTGGTGTATTTCCATCAGCCTTTACATTCACCAAAAGTACTACTTGGACTGTTCTTTGCATGTGTTTTAAAACATTTCTCTCACCAAAGATGTAAAGTTGCTTCATCAATAAGCCCTCCATTTCTTCAGAGTATACATAATAGAGGGTAGACAAATAGACAATACAAACAAGGGGTAAAAGATCATTTTGCAGATTTTGTTTGATTCAGCCCTTTTGCTCCACTGGGTACAACAGGGCACACAGAGTGGTAGAGATAAGAAAATGTTTTCTCTGTGCTCTGGGTGATACAGGATCGAAGGAGAAAACAACACTTATATTTATGAAAACCCACTGTTTTTAAGATTTACCACAGTTGAAAGACCATTTTGAACTTTGCTTTTGTTCTGCAATGTTTCGAAGTCCACTATTTTACTGAGGTTTACATCAGAAGCTTCTTTGAATTTGTCCTCTTGGTGTTACAAAAGAGATTGTATCCAGGACTGATTAATGGAGACTGAATTATTTAATGCAACATAAAGATAAATCCTTAATGAGCTCTTTCCCCCACACACTGAATTTTTTTTTTCAGTTTTTCACAGCAAAATTTATTAGAAATATAGTGGTTTTGAAAGGTCTAGCATCAGGTGAGGGCTACCGTATACAACATTACAGCTGGGAATGTTTCTCCAAAATGTCATGGTCAAATAGTACAATGGAACCATTAAATTTTACGTATGTATGAAAGAGTTAGAGCTTCTGACATACAGTGCAATAAAAGGGGGGGACCACATGGATTAAAATTTTAAGTACTCATCACATACATTAAGACACAGCTTATTTTAGTCAAGTCAGAAATCAGAACTGCATTAAAAAATGTAATGTAGGGTAATCAAACCAAAAACCTTGATTTGTGATTGTAATGCTCTACTACATAAACATTGATCATAGCAAGGAACAAAAAATTCAAATCACACAGTACAAAAAAATCTAGACATTGAATTATTAAGTCAAGGGAATTGTCTTTAAAAAAGTGTCTATAGAATAGATCTTAACTGAAAATGTTATATCAGTGCTGAGTGATGCTCCATTATTTTAAAAATTATCTTTTTTCTTTTTGGTTGCTTAAAAAACACAGATTTATTATCTTACAGTTCTAGAGGTCAGAGATCTAAAATGGATCTCTGGGCTAAAATGACATTGTCAATCAGTTAAAATTATCTAAAGTAGAGTATTTTTTTCTGATAAGCAGGCAACTTTAGCTGAATTATTTTTTCTGTTTCAGCTTTTTAATTTATGGTTTCACATTGGAGTGACTTTTTATTTTTAAAATATTTGAGTTTTTATTATTAAAGTAACTTGCTTTTGTATTTGAATATCAAATTTTAAGGAAAAATCACACTCAGCTTACTTTGGCCTCTGTGTCTCAAAAACTGTTTTAAAACAGTATTGGAAATGAAGTTTATAGATGAAGCAAAATGCTTATTGCCCTTCTGTATGGAACCTGCAGCCAGCTTCTAAGCATGACTACTCACGTAAATATCACGTTCCATGAGGCTCTTAGCATTCCTGTCTCCATCTTGGTTATAACTGAATATCATTTTCTCTGCTTTTCTCATTATGTGTACCATTCAGTGCTTTCACCCACAGCTGTCTTGGTTCCTTTTTTGAAAACTCCGTGTTTTTGTTGTTACAGTACTCAAATTTCATCTCAGCTGTTCTCATGAAGGTTGTGTTGTTGCTTGCAGAGGGTAGATAGCTCTCACATGCCCTTATTTTCTTTCTGGAACAACTGTTTGGGTGAGAAAGATGGTGTTCATCTTTCAGATTTTCCCTAAAAAAAGAATATGGGTGTTAAAATGCTCCCTTTTAAAAAGCAAATAAAACAAATTATTAACAATTGTTACCTTAAAATATTCCATTCTGAAGAGTAAGTAGCTTCTCGTCATTGTCACATGTGTTAACTGAACTGACTTCTGGTTGGTCATTGTGTTATTTTCAGACATTGAAGTTCAGAAAATGAAAAAGGCTGTGGAGTCTTTGATGGCAGCAAATGAAGAAAAGGTATCCAGATGAAATTTAAAGATATTTGTGGATGTTTTGTAACACCATTTTGATCATTCCGTGCAATTTCTTGAGATATCCCAGTTTGAAAGAATATACCCAAGACACTACTGACATTAAGGAGCAAACATTCCCTCTCTCTGCATGCTCAGGAACACACACTGTCAGTGATGGCAATTGTGATTGTAGCTGTGTGCATAGGAATAGGGACCTGTACCTCTGGCTCCACTGAGAATATCCCCCCTCTGCCCCCATGAGTTTAGAAAGTGTTCAAACTACCAGATCGGTTCTGTATATTCAGGTGATAGTTAAGAGAAAGGATGCATTCCACAGTACATCATTGCTGTGGTCACTGGAAATTCTGGGCTAAGATACGAACTCTGAAGGAGGTAGACCATGACAACTTTAACTTCACGATCGTGTTGGTTTTCTTCTCCATATACCTATTATTTCCTGCACACTCCTGGCCTCTTTCACATCCGTGGTTGTCTCTGCTCTCCTGAGAGGTGAAATATCAGACAACAGAGGCACAGGTGCAGTGAGGTCATGTATGGGCCTAGGCCTTGTTTTATCTACATGGACTGATACCAAGGTCTCCAGGGGTTCTTTTCCCCCAGTTGGATCTTCTTACCCACATCTTCAGTTTCACCCTGCTGGGAGCAGGGACACAGGTACTCTAGTAAGGCAACGTGTTTCTTCATGGCTTGTCTGGCCATCCACGTATATAGTAGGTGGTAACAGTCGAGTTCAGCTCCATGTCATCAGAATTGCTGTCCCCTCGTGTCCCATAATGAATAGACAAGGGGACATTTTCCCAAGAAAAGAGTGATTTTGAGAAAGTAAAAAACAGCAAAATATCAAAGAACTTTGGCTTAATCTTTTTCTCACAAGTTTTTTTTTTCCTAATTCTTGTCTACTCTAATTCTTATCTCATTTATGTTTAGCTTTCTCTCTTTTTATTTACTCTTTATTCCTTGGAAATAAACTCATTGTCATTTTCACCCCCCCATATTTAGGTTTCTTTTTGCTAGGCTTTCCCACTATTGAATAAAAAGAAAAGTAATTAGCAAGCTGCCCACCATAGCTTTTTATCTTTTTAAAAAAAAAATCGCTGAAATTTATTTTGTTTTAATTTCTTTCCCCAAAAAAGCAACAACAAACAGAACTCTCAGTGTTGAATGACGGCTTACCAGGTGTTCAAACTGCTAGAGAAGCACCAAGAGTAACATAACTTCCATGGGAGTTTCCAGAAGGTTTCAAAGAGGACATATTTGAGTAAATTCTGAGGAAGAGCAAGAGTTGTTCATGGGGAAAGTTAAGGTTTCCAGGCAAAGGGGCCATGAACCAAAACATCCCTCAAAACCCAGGCTGGAAATAGCCCAGTGCATGCTGAGAAAGTGCCGGGGCATGAGATACAGGGAGGTGGGGGTGTATGAGGCTGACCAGGGAGCTCAGTCAGAAGGCAGGCGACTTCATGTGCGAGGCTCGTGCTGTGGGGTCCTAGCTTATAGACCTTGGGCAGTGACATAATTCAATTGCTACTCTTGAAAGCTAACTCTGGAAGCAGAATGGGGGAGTAAAGAGAAATATAACAATTAAGAAACTGTTAAAAATCGTCTAAGTGAGAAACGAAGAGGGCCTGAAATAGGGCAATGGTGGTGAAGTGGCAAAGAGGGAAGAGATTTTAGAGAAATGTACAGGCTGACAAGATTTAAAGATGTCTGGATTTGAGAAATGAGAGTAAGTTTCTGTTTTGTGCACCTGGGTGAAATGATAGTACCCTTAGAGAGTTGAGGAAACCTAAGCAGAGGTTCAAGTACTGGAGGGAAATAACGAGCTTAATTTCAGATACACTGTATTCAATCTGATGTGCTCATGGGACATTCTTAGAGAAGATTTCTCTTAGAAAGATGGAACCTGAATCTAAGTTTTAGGATTCATGTAGAATTACAGATTGGTGAGGAGTGAACGTCATCAATTTTTAGAGAAATGTAGAATCGTAGATTGATGGGGACTAAGCTACAATTGATGTCAATTAGCTTTTGCTCCATGACAAACCACATTTATTATTTCTCATACTTCTGGGGGTTGCTGATCTCTGCAGTCAGTTGGTGGCTCCTGTGGGGCTGCATGATCTAGGATACTGCAATTCAGTGTCTGGAGATTAATACACTGGTTTGGTTTGGCCCCAGTTGGGATGACTCATCTCTTCTCCAAATAGTCTCTCATCCTCCAGTAGACTAGCCTAGGCTCCTTCACATCGTTTCTCAGACTTCCCTAGAGCAGCACCAGAGGGTAGCCACAATGTGCAAATGCTTTTCAAGCCTTTGCTTGAATCACATTTGTTGATATCTCATCAGGCAGTGACCAAGGAGTCACATGACCAAGGCCAGAACCAGTGTGGGAGGAGCTGGGGAGGCTATTTTTATAATGCACCATAGCTGAGGGCATAGAAAAGAGAAGAGGGTCAAGGACAGAACCTTGGAGCTCTAAATTCATTGTCCAGGTTGGGAAAATAATGGGGTTCATGGTAGTGGAGTAACTATCTGGGCAAGGGATTAAAAAATCAAAATAGAAGAAAAGAAAGAGTGGCCAGAGAAATGAAAGAAGAAAAGAGTGGGTTCAGTCAGGTGCTACCTAGAGAAAAGGCTGGAAAAGTGTTTGTTGTTTTAAAGGATAGGAGATCACTGATGACTAATTGGAGCAACTTTGATGGAGTGTTTTGAAGAAGGAAAAGCCAGATGGTGATTAATGAGACTGACAAAGACAGCAGATGTAGGTCTTTCTTTCAAGGGTTAACTTATCAGTTAGAGAGGAGAGTAATGAAAGCTGATTTTTTCTTTTTCTTTTTTTTTGGTTTTGTTTTGTATCTTATCACCTTGTTTTGTTTTTGTTTTTTAAAGATGGCAGCTGAAGGATAGGATCTCTAAATTTAGAGGTACTTTTTTCATATCTCTGATGTACGTAGGAAAAATATTCTAGATATTACCAGTATTACTAAAGTTTAGAAGTATTTTTTGATTATTGTAAATAATTCATGTCTACTTACTCTTTATGTCACAGTTACCTTTTCTGTTTTAAAATCATGGTATTAAAGGTGATAATTTATTTTAATCATAGGATCGGAAAATAGAAGATCTTCGACAGTGCCTGAACAGGTACAAGAAAATGCAAGATACCGTAGTACTGACCCAAGGTAAAAAAGGTAGAGTGTAGCTCTAATGGGTTTTCTACCTTACTTGATGTTATGTGGCCATGAACTTATACATTTGGCCTCAGCTTCTTTCAGGGATTGTATCCATTGTCCCAAATTGGGTAGCTCATTCATTTATTGAACAATATTATTAGGCAACTCTTCTCTGCCAGAAAGTGTACGGGCTCTTGAGTGGAGTGTACTGTAGACGGATGGTCAGGGAGAGCCTCTCCAGAGAGAGAGAACAGCAGCATGTGCCCAGATCCTAGGGGAATACAGAAGTTGGTGTGTTTAAGTAGTCAAAGAAGACTAGCGTGGCTGCAAAGCAGTGAGCAGTGGGCAGAGTGAGATGAGATGAGAGAGTAGAGATGAACAGCAACTAGGTCATGCAAGGTGAGGGGTTCAGCTCTTGTTCAAGTGCAGGGGGATCCACAGAAGAGTTTTGTCTGTGTGTGTGTGTGTGTGTGTGTGTGTGTGTGTTTTAAGTCAGCAACATTATCTTTGCAACAAATGGACCAACTTCTGTATTCCCCTAGGATCTGGGCACATGCTGCTGTTCTCTCTCTCTGGAGAGGCTCTCCCTGACCATCCGTCTACAGTACACTCCACTCAA